GTCATATTTTTGACACATTGTTCTAACACTTGCTGAACATCCTCCTCCAGCGCATCTTTTTCTTTTATTATTTATAGTTTTTGTGAGAAGATGGTTTCTCCCGTCGTACCTGACTGTATCAGACACCATATTGTAGGTCTTTCTGGTCCTTTTGGAGGTACCCCAAACATTTTTGTATAAGATAGGACAACTTCGCGCCTAAACTCCAAGCTCAAGTTGCGATATCTCTCGTATTTACATTGCGTTTCAATATCTCCAGTTATCCACGAATATACTTGTCTTTTACTTTTTGAGCTCTCAGATATTTTTGATTGGCTATTGTCAGATAAGGGAGAATTCAAATCATTTAAGGTTGGAATTCCACAATCTGCTGCGGCGAATATATTAAATTCTGATTTGTGGCCATGTGGAGCTGTGATAAGGAGATTCTACTCTTCTCAACGTAAGGTTAATAATATAACATCCAAGACTAACAATGTTACATCTGGTAATTCAAATTTTTCAATGGACAAGGAAAAATCAGCAGTAGTATGAGACTCGAAAAACTTAAGGTCTACTTCCAAAATGAACGTGGATTGAGGACTAAAATTAAAGATTGTTTCTTATCATGTGCTAATGGATAATTATGACGTCATTGTTTTTGTTGAAACTTGGCTTCATCCTGAAATTTGTGATGCGGAGATATTTGATGATAGATATGTGGTGTTTAGAAATGATTGTAGTGCACTTAACAGTAAAAAATGACATGGTGGTGGTGTCCTTATTGCTGTGAAAAAGTATATAACAGCCAGAATCCTTCCATTCCTTCCATTGAAGAATTGTGGGTCTTTCTTGAATGTGACCAGAAATCATTTATTTTCTGTGCAGTGTATCTTCCTCCGGATGCGTTGATTGATATGTATAATATTCATGTATATAGTTTTAATTATCTTTGTAGGAATTATTTGTCTGCAACGTTTTATCTCCTTGGTGATTATAACCTACCTTGTATCTCTTGGATTAAAGATGATGAAATTGTAGGTCTCACACCTATTAATGTTAGCACTGACAAGGAGACTATTATTTGTGACACCTTTTTTGCATGTGATTTGAGTCAATTTAATTATATTGTTAACAGTTCGGGTAATGTTTTGGATTTATGTTTTTCTAATTGTGAGCATTTAGATATTAGTGAATGTTTTGCTCTTGTAAAAGTGGATCCTTTTCATCACCCCTATTCGTTTGCTATTCATTTAGTTGATTATTACTGTACTGCTGAATTTTGTGACATTTCTTACAATTTTAAGAATTGCAATTATGAATTACTTAATAATTTTTTAATTTCTATTAGCTGGGATTTTATTAGTTTTAGTACTGATATTAATGATGTTGTGAATATCTTTTATAATTACATTTATTTAGCATGTGATATTTTTGTACCTACTAGGGTTAAGCGTTATGATAATTTTCCACATTGGTTTAATTCAGAATCGCGCAAGCTTGTCAAACGTAAAAAGGAGCTCCATCGTCGATATAAAATGAGTGGCAAATTAGAGGGTTATATTAATTTTTCCATTGTTAGGGACGAATGTAAGCATGCTATTAACTGTTCCTATAATAGTTATATTGATCGTACTGAATCCTTGATTTATACTGATTCCAAACAATTTTGGAAATTTATTAGTGATCATAATAGAAGTAATGAGATTCCTAATACTATGTATTTCAATAATGATGTATTTCAATAATGATGTATTTCAAGGTTGCAGTGATATTGTTAAGGTCTTTGCTTGTTATTTTTCTTCTGTGTATGATAATCCTAAGTTGCTCCCTACTTATAATTCTGATGGTCAGGTAATGTGTGAACTATTACAATTAAATTTGAATAAGGGAGCTGGTCCTGAAGGTATTCCTCCTTTATTTTTTAAGATGGGTGCTTTATCATTGGCTGAACCATTATGTCGCATTTTCTCTGTATCTATGAGTAGTGGAGTTTTTCCTGACATCTGGAAATTTGCTCATGTGGTGACTATTTTTAAATCTGGTTCTAAGCATTTTGTTCATAATTATAGACCTGTAAGTATATTGTCGGTTCCTGCCAAATTATTTGAAACTATTGTTTCTCAGCAATTACGTCATTCCTTTAAGAATATTATCATTGAGTCTCAACATGGCTTTTATGCTGGCAGATCTACGCAGACTAATCTTATTACATTTATTAGTGATATAATTGATGCTTTTGAAGATGGTTGTGATGTACATTGTGTGTACACAGACTTTCATAAGGCGTTTGACAAAGTTCACCATCAATTGCTTTTAGATAAATTGTATTTGTATGGCATTCGTGACCGTCTTTTGTCCTGGTTTAATAGCTATCTCACGAATCGTAGTCAAAGTGTATGTTTAAAGGGTGTAAAATCTTACAAGTATTCTGTTAAATCTGGGGTACCGCAGGGATCCATTCTTGGTCCTTTTCTTTTTAATATTTTCGTCAATGACATTACAATGAATTTTCTTTCTGAAAGTCTTTTTTATGCTGATGATTTAAAAATTTATCATTTTATTAAAACAACTGATGACATGAAGACTTTAGAACATGATCTTAAACTAGTTGAAAACTGGTGCTTCATGAATGACTTAAATCTGAATGTTTCGAAATGTGTAGCCATTTGTTTTAGTAAGAAAAGTTCCTCTATTAATGCTTCTTGTGTTAAATAATGAATTACTAAAAGATGAAAGTATAGTTAAAGATTTAGGTATTTATTTTGATTCGAAATTAACGTTTCATTGTCATTACGATTCACTTATAGCTAAAGCTAGAAAACTTATAGGTTGTATAAAAAGATGGTCTGTTGATTTTAAGTACATTAATGTTATAGTTGTTTTATATTTTTCGCTTGTAAGATCTGTCTTAGAGTATAATTGTATTATTTGGTCTCCTTTTTATATTACGCTAATTAATCGCATAGAATCTATTCAGATTCATTTTTTAAAATATTTAAAATTTAGATTAAGTATGTTATATAATTTACAGTTTGCTAGTGTTGAAATGGTTGCTGACTATCTTAATATTCCGTGTTTGAGTAATCGAAGGAAGTATTTAAAGCTCTGTTTTTTATTTAAATTGTTGAATAATATGGTTAGCTGCCCTACATTGTTAAGTAGAATAGGTTTTAATGTACATGTGTTTCATACACGTAAACCTGAAATGTTTTATATTCCTTTTCATTGTCGCAACTATTCGCTCCATTCTCCAATGAATAGTATTTTATCGTTGGCTAATAATGTAGGTTCTGAACTTAATTTTACAGGGTCCAAATTTATGAGTTTCAAACGTTACTGTAAGGCCCTTTGTATGGGTGTCTAATTATCATGTAATTATCATGTAATGCTTTTTTGGCGTGAATAAACATTAATATTATTATTATTATTATTATGGCACATTAGACCTTGTTGCGTCAACTTCGCCTTGAATTTTTTCAACATGAATTTCTTCCAGAGTAAGTACCCAGCCTTTGATTGTTCGACAAAACAATCTCTGCAGGTGTAGCTAGCTGACGTCCAGGTAAAATGATTTATATCGCCTTCGTCATCTTCGTCCCCAGAGTGTTCATCAGTGAAGATGTTACTCTCATCAATAAAAATGCTATCTACATCCAGATTAACTCCATAAGCAATACTCAGCGCTTCTTACAATGAAAAACCACGTCTAACAATGCAAAAATAGATTTACAGTAAAATGACTATAAAATAAAACTGAGAAGTCTAATGGCCTAGTGTTAGCAAACGGTAACATAAAAAACAAAGAGCAATGGCTGTAATGACCAAAAAAATATTTGTGGTAAATTAGGTCAGACGGACTTGTTTGAATCTCCTGTTTACGGAGACAATTATTATAGGCCATGATTTTGTTGATTATTACGGTTGATTCTACTTATTTCAAACGGATGTCCATTTTGTATGCTCACAAACTGATGAACAAATTTTGAACAAACGTAAGTCCAAACCGGCAAAATTTAGTGCAATTGCACTGTACCCAATCATTACAGTAAACTTTTTAGAATATCTGTGAGCGACATTTAGCGTGTATTCACGAGAATCAAGCCAATAACAATTTTTAAAGAACTCGCTGTTTGCGTTACCATATGATAACACAGGGATGAAATGGGTTAAGTTTTCTTTATCTCCAATCTCCAAAGTTTATCAGGAGAATAACTTTGAATAAATGTTTTTAGAAAGTGAACCATATAGGAAAAATTATACAGTCAGTTTTACAGTACTTGATTTCCAATGTGATAGTGGAGGTTGAATTTGCAATAAGTTTGATTAAAATTGCTCCAGTTGATACACAGAAACCACTTTCCGTAACAGGCTGTGAGTGCGTGCAATTTATATAATTAACTGTTTTCAAGATTTGTTTCTTCGCTTAAAATAATGTACGAAAAAAACCCATACGCCGCCCCGGTACGATGCCTATGGGTTTCTAGTACGTGCGGCGATGAAGAGTGACTCATCATCGGTGACGGCGGCCAGGCGATGTTCGCATAAAAACAAGTCTGGAGCGGGTTACCGGAAGTCTCGATTGCGGGGTTCAGAAAAACCTCGGAACGGCGTTCGCGATCCATCCATAGGAACGTATGGGTTTAAATAGAGGCCACCGGCGCGGACGATTATTATTTAGTCGAGTCGAGTCCAGCGAATGTTGAGAAATAAATTGTTGAGTTTACCCACGCCAGAATGGGAAGTCAGAACCCGAGCTGATTTCTTCATGTTGTCTGCATCTTTGTTGTTCAGAGTCTTTATCTGCAGACCGGATTGTAACAAACAACTGGAAAGTTATTAACAAGTGGTTCGCCGCGTCTGACATACTCAAAAGGTCATACCATGTTAAAGGGATTCTTAAATTATTTTACGCTAACTTTGAATAAATATATATTTGTCTTTTACAACATCTGATGTAATGATAGTGATTAAGTGCTCTTATTGTTTACATATAATTGTTTAAAAGCATAGGTTGTACATACAGCTGTAAAATGATATTTACAAACAAGAAATAAATATAAATTCACTGTACAATTAATAATAAAACTAAACGATAACAAAAAGCTAGTTTGTCTGACACAACAGTCAATGAGTAACTTATTCACTTAACATTTCTTTTATAGCCGAAATATATGAATCATTTTCAATATCAGGCACACAGTCTATTGGTTTTTTGTTATTATTGTCTGCTATATTTCTGTCACTTCCTTTACTTAACAGTAATTCTACAATATACCTATGCCCTTTCTGACACGCAAAATGTAATGGTGTTTTGCCTTCTTGATCTTTAACATCTACATTTGGACATGCATTTACTAACAATTCTGCAATTTTAAAATTTCCTTTATTGCATATATAGTGTAAAGGGGTACGACCTAGAGAATCCCAAACATCTAATGCAACTTCTTGTTCCACCAACAGCTTTACCATATTATAATTTTCAATTTCACAAGCATAGTGTATAGGTCTTTTATCTTGATTATCTGATGCATTTAGGTCGGCACTTTTAGAAACTAATGCTTTGAGTCTCCTAATGTCTCCCACTTCGCACGCGTAATGTACTTGCATTCGACCAAGATTGTCTTTGCCGTCAACTTTAATAACACTGAGTAATTTATGAAACTCTACCGAGCTTTTTCCTGAAAATATCGCATGTACGGACTGAACGGATTGGGCTTCACTGTGTAAACGCGAAAATAAATAATAAGATGCCCTTAAATCTGAAACTGTCGACTCTGACATTACATTATGGAGTAGTGTGTCTCCATATTTCTTCTGTTTAATAAGTACTTCCAAACAGTTAAATGAGCGGTATTTTGTTATTAAGGACACGAGGACTTTTGAATCGATACTTTGATGAATATTTTTTAACCAGTCGATATCTTTGTTGCAAGCAAAGACAAACGCGAAATCAAATTTTATTACATAAAACAGAATTGTAAGCAAGTGTTCTTTGTAAAAACAATGCGCGTTGCTATTATACATTGGTATCAGAAAGGGCAATAGAAGCATTAGGTTTTTAACACAGATGTGCAATGAATCTTTAATGTTTTCGAAACGCTTTAGAATCTTTTGGCAATTTAACGTATCTCCAGTATTTGTTAATCTAGCAATGTTGTCTTGCGAAATACTTGACGAAGTTATCAGCGGATATTTTTTGCTCCAAGCACACGATAACCGTAATTCTTCAGCGAGGTTCTGTGCTGTCATAGAACCACACCGTGGCAAAAGTTTATAATTTTTATAAAGAATTGCTACACAACTTCTTTTTTCTTCCTTTATAAATCCCGCCAATAACAACAAATCGAGAAAAAGTCTTATATTATTGTATTTGTCATTGCAAATAAAATTCTGATCACGACTTCTTTTAGGGTCATTCTTATGGAGATAAATGGCGGCAAAGTATTCACCGTATGAATTGTGAATAAATTCTGGTTCAAGATTACTGTCGACCTTATTTATAAGCCCTACAGGGTCTCCATCATTTCTAATTTTCTCTAAAAATTCAGTTTCATTACTTCGAGAAGAACAGAAAAAGATACTACACGTGTTTTTAGAATTTTTACCGATATAGAAATCAAATGCTGTCACTGCATAATTGTCGATTATAGACTGCTTTTCCGTGATGTATCTTTCTCTATTTTGGTCTATATTTAAATTTATGTTGCGCTTTTCGGTATAATAGATTCTACACTTTTCATCAACAAAATTTTCATATAAATCTACCACCGTAATTATTTCATTGTTCTGATTAAGAAACAACTTTACATCTGATTTCGAAAGTAGAAACTCCGTCAGAAGATATATTTGCAGTGGAACTCCCAAAAGGTTGTTGTCTAAAAACGGTACACAAAGTTTCACTTGTTCAAAAGCCACCGACGCGTCTGCCTCCGAAAGATTTAACCTCGTCTGAATGTATTCCCGCTGTTGTTCTTCGTTAAACTCTTGTATTTCGATGGAGAACGTTTTCAGAATTTCTTCTAGTTTGTCCTTCAAGTTTTTTCGAGACGTAACCCATTGTTTAATCCCACTCTTAGCAATTTCTTGCACAACTTCCAAGATTGCTGTAAGATTTTTATCCGATACTTCGTCTAGGCCATCCCAAATGATGCGTACCTTCTTCTTCTCGATAAATTTTTGGAATATCTTTTTTTCTGGTGAATCTTTATACAAGACGGACACCATGATTGTTAGAAATTCTTTGATATTTTGTCTCATTTCTGAATAATGGGCAGCATGTTCTCTGGCATTTATTATAAGTGTCCATACTGACGAACAACTGCCGATTTTTAAGCTCTTTGCTAGTGTGCTTTTTCCCATTCCTGCGTTAGCACACACTACGTTTATATCGTTTTCGACTTTACCACATAATGTTGATTCATGTTTGGAATAATCATACTGATGATCAACCCTGAAACTTGAGAGTTCATCCACGTGATTCTTACTTCTTATCCACTCTAAACATGAATCATTTTGACCATTTTCGAGATATCTAAACTGATGACAGTTTGCTTTGGTTGTGTTATGAGCATATTCCCTAAACTCCTCATAATCCAATTCTGAGTCCACGATATACATTACGTTACTCCTGGAGTTATTGTTATGAAAAGTTATTTTTGTGATTCCTTCATTATTGATTTCAACCTTTTTCAGTTTATTGATCATTGTTTCCTTGTCCTCGACGTCGTGAATTATAATTAAATTATCTTCTACGCTTTGTAGAAATCCAACGCCGACGATAACTTTGGATAAAGTCCTGGAGATGTGGCAAGATGGTAATTGATCTGCTTCTTTTCCAAATTGTGTTGGACCATCGATCATTTCAACGAGTCTGTCTGTAGTAATCAAGTCGGCTATCTTGTTATCCACACTTATCAATTTCCTTAAAGTGGTCTCTGCTTGCCCTTCTAATGAGTACGTAAACGTATCTAAAATTCTATCATAAAGTGTTGTTTCCTTCGCTAAGTCAGACAAATTTTCAAACACACTATTTGCCATATTATTTTTTGACTCTTCAGTTCTCGCAGAACACAAAATCAAGATGTTCTTGTTTTCCACTAAATTTTGTATCTTATAAAATTCCGCGCATTCGTCCACAACTAAAGGAGATTTGCCCATAAGCCAGAAGATTTTAGTTTTTTGCGCGTCATTAATTTCTGCAATATTATCTAAAGGGGTCAGAAGCGTACTAAGATATTTAAATTCTTCTTCGTTGATTTCCCCTTCTACAGATTTTGTCCAGAGATTCCTTACTTTCATCTCATAATTTTTGCTTAGTGTTGTTATTTTAAACTCGGAAACTGCATCTCTAAAGGCTTGTTCATTATTGTTAATTAAGCTATTGTCTGACAGTGCCAATGTCTTCACATAAGGCGACAACGCGGTAAGGGCAATAAGATTTTTCACAAATGTTTTGTCTAACGTGTTTTTGGACCCATCAATCATACTCCATCTAATTATCACGTTCTTAAACTCGTTAAACGCAGGTTCTTGGGCGTCAAAACTGTCTTGAAACAATTTTAGTGTTATCGCTTCAAGAGCACTAACGTTGGCTTGGTTAGTGTATAAATGAAAGTTTTTGAAGAAGTCGGAGGATGGATTTGTCGGTGTAAAGACGTACGAATAATTGTTTGCTTGACCTGAAGTATTTAGCAATTTATTTATAAAGTCGTCTTGCTTCATTTCAGCTTGAACAGTTACTGTTTCTTTGTCGATCTCCAGCTGTTTTACGTTTCCATTTAAAGAACGGTTAGTCAATAAAATCGCCTTAAAATGACCGATTTTTTTGACAGTCTCGATGTAGTCTGTATGATATTTGTACATGCTAAAGTATTTCCCTTTAGGACTAGACAAGTCTGCAACGTTTATGTCCTTTTTATTCTCGTTCGAATGTTTCAGTTGCACTGCCAACGTTTGAGCTTCTTTGCCGACGTATTTTACGTGAATCACTACGTCATCAAAAACTCCATAATTTTCGTCATTGGATGATACGTAAAAATATTCTACACTTTCATCCATAACTAAATTCAAAAGTACATATGCTACGTAAAGATGTTCGTAGTCTTTACCTTTATCGGTCGTGCCCTTTCGTTTGCTAAATTCCTGAAAATAAAAAGAGAGATATCAGAGAGTGCTGCTTCCTCGTTTCAATTACTCAACGTAACACTTTGAAATTTAGATGTTTAGGGAAATAACTCAAAGCAAATTCGTACACCACGAGTATAGGAATATATTATTGTAAAAACTTAAATCATTTTAAAATAGAATTCTTTGAGATGACGTCACCAAATTGTTGGTGGGAATGACTGGCCAAATTTTGGTTAGCATTTTACCATCTACATGATATTCCTACAATCCATTCAAAATTTGACAACAATCGGTCGTGTAGTTACGGAGATTATCTGTATAATATAAATCAGTACAGACGGACAGACGGACAAACAGACGACAGACCGACGGAAACGAGAGACCATTTTTATCGTGTTTTAGGGGTCATGAACGTCGAGAAAACATGAAACTGGCAAGCTACAGAATTTGATAAGTTTATTTATTTTAAGAGATTTTTATCAGCTCTGGAACATAATTTTGTTCTATTTATAATCACTTGAATGTTTGATCTTAAAATTATATCTTGATTAACGTTGGTATTATCTTTTTGTTTCATCTTTTAAATCTTATAGGGGAGACCTGTCCAAAACCGTATACCGGGGTAAAACCGTATAGTGGGCTTAGAACTGCTGGTTGTTTGAATTTGCCGCTCAAACTTCTGTCAATGAGATCTACCAATGAGAGCCATTTGTCTACAAAAACTTGTTAACGCTGCCAGGCTCGTTACAAAATTAAATAAATTTAAAATTTTGCGGGTGCTGTGATCTAATTATTAACTAAATAACCACTGCAAGTGTATACTGTTAACGGAATTCAATGTAAGTACGTAATTTACGATATCATTGTATGTGTTTCTACTATTATTTTCAGCGTTTGTCTTAACCGATTTTTTTTGTGTTTGTTGTGGTGAGCAAAATGTTCATTTGAGGGGTAAAATCGTACGAGCTTCTAAGTAATTCGCAGTCGAAAATTAAAAAACCAAAGTTGAATCTGTCAGAAACCAAGAGAAAAAATAAAGATAAAGTAGAAAGTAAAACTGGAGATAGTAAAGATCTTTGCCTGTACTGTCTTGAAAAATATGGTCAAAGTCGCATGGATGAAAGTTGGGTACAGTGTACTTCCTGTAATGGTTGGGCCCATGAAGGTTGTACAGGTTACGATTCCGATGATCTTGATGATTTTTTGTGCACTAAATGTTTGGTGTGAATGTTGGGGCAAAATCGTATATTGTGTACGGTTTTGGATAGTATACGGGGTAAAACCGTAATTAGAAGTGTTTTTGTTTTAACATTTTTATTTCGTAGATAAGTTACGTCTTTCGATTTTTGTTCTTACAATTATGTACCTGACAAGACTGGTCAATAAAAATGTTGATTTGACAATTTTATTGTGTATTATTACAGAGATATATACATTTCCGCTTAGCTATACGGTTTTGGACAGGTCTCCCCTACATTTACAAATTTGATTGTTAAATTATTTTAATTGTAAATAAGTATAATCTACAGCTTCAGTACCGATATAAAGATATTTTCTGCAACAGAAAGTACTAGAAGCAATCTTCTTACTCACTACTTTGACTACACATGAAAAGTAGGTACTTGATTTTTGAAGCACTTTTGTTAAGTACTTTGCACAAGTAAGAGTTTACTAAAGAAAAACCATAAATTAAAAAAAAGTATAAATGTAAATGCACTAATTTTACCGTCTACATGTACTGATGCTACTGATTTAAAATAGATGAACAAAATTTCCTTTATTTTAAAAATAAACGACAATAAAAAATAAAAAAAAAAACGTACCGCAAAAGGGTTATTGATGTGTGAGCTCATGTTGGATCCAGTTTTTTTTGTTCGTCTGCAAAAAATAAACAAGTGTGTTAACATAAATAGAAAATATAATAAAAACATAACTTGAATAAAAACATAAAGAAGCATATATTTAACTTAAGTAATTCCTAGCACTTACAGTACTAAGTAGTACCTACTTCACGTTGTTAACGATAGTTAATTTTAATTATATTTAATTATGCCTTCAGCTACTTTTAATCAACTTAGTTAATTTATTTTGTATCAATGCTTACCACAAAGATGTTGTTTTCAAATCTACAGATTATTTCACTGTGGTTTACTTCTTGGATGTTCTACAATTTATTACGCATACTTGAACAAGTGCTCGTACTAATTATTGTACTAAATGTTGATATCGATTTGGTGTGTCGTTGCAACCTCCTGCGTCTTATATACCCGTAACGTGACTGATAAGCCCATTTTTGTAATTAAAGATAAGTCCACATAATACACCTACTTATTTTTCAATCGCAATTTTTTATTTAAAGTGTTTTGATTATTTAACAGTATATTAAAAAAGATATTTAATCAGGTCCATTATTATTATCGATGAGTTCAAGTTTTTTTTCTGTTGAGGAGATAGTGGTGACCAAATTTGAATCAAATTTTTGCGCTGAATTTAATTAACACCGGCGCGAAATCGCATTTGAATAATTTGAATTTAAGATAAAAATTCAAAAAAAAAAATCGTTAAAAATAGGTTTTGGGCACGTCACAGTTGTCCCCAATACGCGCAGCAAATTCTTACGGCTTTTAATCGGAAACATATTTTAAACGACGCCTACACATGCTACAAATTTGTTTTATTGTTTGTAAATTCATCGATCAGGTTTTTAATCGTTAACTGGTTCTAACACAATTTAACAGACATTTGCTCCGAGTTTTCATGAAATTCACTTAGTCAGGACTAGTTTGATTTTGTTTGTCTAAATATAAATAAGTTTCGGGATGCATATACTTAAGTGTTAGATTATAACAGTTCTTAATTCGTCATCCACTAATAGTTCATTTACGGCAGTTAAATTAACAAAATTCGTTATACTGTGAACTGGCGGGGGGGTTAAAATAATTTCTTCCCTTAGTCATCGTTATCATCATTACATGACCGAGGCATTTCCTCGTAACGTTAAAGAATGATTACATCACCGAAGCATTTCCTCGCAACGCTAAAAATTACATCACCGAGACACTTTTTCCTCGCAACGTGACTGTATATGTTTGTGTTTATTTATTATGCGTTTTGTTGGGGTAACCAGTTCATATAGACTCTCCAAGTTAATTATTTTAAGTAATCGAACACTAGGATCAAGACATAATTTAACATAATGTAAAATCTCACAATTTTAACTTCCGTAATTTTCTTTGTTATATAATTTTAATTGAACGTAAGTTTCATGCTCCGCAGTTTTAACCTGACGTAATATTTTTATTTGCACAAATTTATTTCACACCAGATCTTTTGTCTTTATAAATCTTTGCTAGTTTTTGTTTTGTAAATATTTTGTTGACGAATGTTTCCATCTTATAAATTGTCTGATGGTCAATTTTAACCTCACATAAGAATGATTTTTTGCTTAAAATTACACAAGATTGTCTGGCGAATTTAAATGTTGTTCATTGCTCTTTTTAAAACCCTAACACTTGTTTAGTTGTCGTTAATATCAGAGTAATAGAAATTGAACACTTAAAATGGAATTGAGGTTAAATAACACCGAAACACGTAGCAGAAGCGGAGGGCGCGGTTCCGAGTGGAGCTAGCGGGATTTATCGCGCCATCTGCACAAGGGATGCAGACTCTATATAGATGTCAGGGGAACGGTCTGGACGATGTGACGCTGTCAGCTTATTTATAGTCGCGACTTCCAACCACTAGTTTGCGACCGTAACGGCCTGGATAGCACGGCCAAATTTTGAATTTTTAAATTTTTCGCGGGCCTTTCAAACTTTTTTCACATGTCAATTTAAGGCGGGAAGCTTGGATTATCACAGAGTTTATCTGACTTCTGACATATTGCTCAGAGTACATACTTATCTTAGCTTTTAAATTATTGATTGAGATATAAATTACACACATCATACAATTGAATTCTGTGTTGCATACCTATTTTCTCTAGTAAGGAAAAAAATCAATACTCGTACTTTATTATCAACGTAATTACTATAAATAAGATAACAACACCAAAAAAAAGTTAATTGTGTATTGATTGTCCATATTTATGTTCACCAAATGATATTAGTATTACACTTTCTAAAGTAGATATTAATTTTTTTGTACTTAACAAATATTTTTGTTTAAGATTTATTCGCAACCGTTTCCAATAAATATCTGCTTCACCTGTTCTTCGAACTGATGTACACACATTTCGAAAATTATCTTATCTTGTCTAACCATAAAACTGATAAAAACTAGTAACCAAAACTTTAATCTTCTCCGCTTTCCTAAATCCACAACTGACGACGCAAGATGATATTACAACTATTGCTAGTGTTCTACATCTTCACCACATGTACAACACCACAAGCAGTGACACCAGTAAGTCTCCCATTTCACCTAACTATAAATCTAAATGCCTCTCAGAATTGTGACCTTGCCCGCAGCTCATTCTCCTGCTCCGACGAACAAAAAAAGCATCTGTACGAAAAGTGCTTCACCACGAAATTTTGCACAAAGAAAGACAACTTCGATCGACAAACTCTGCCACAATGTCCGCGGGGTTTCGTAGATGCGAGCGATTTCTGTTACGCAATCACCAAAAAGTCGCCATTTCCGCCAAAATGTCCGTTCACAAACGTGCGGTCGATGAATTTCACGCACGTCGAGGATATCATCAAACGGGACAAAATCGGTGCTGTGTGGATGCCGGTTCAGAGAAACATCACCAACGGTCTTGGGTTTCTGCAATGGGTGGAACATACCAGAAGCTACAAAACAGAATTTAGAGGTCCCATTCGTTACGAAGGCGAACTTCAAGGAAAAGATTGTCTTGTGTACAATGCCTCCAGGATGTTTGCTGTTTCCTGTAAGGAAGAACATGCAGGTTTATGCTTGTACGAAAAAGTACACAATGCCGGGAGTATTTTGTGCGGTGGTGAGACAAACTGTGTCGAAGTTACTCAACGAACTAACCCGAAATGTGTCTGCGCGCGTGAGTCGTTCTCCCTCGGGGAATATGAAGAGGCCGAGTTTCTGGATCCACATGAAAATAATGTCTATTCATTAATAGCACGAGATAGAAGTTGTGGTATCGGGATTAGAAAAACTGTCAATGGTACTTTCGCCTGGAACAACTCCATGAGAGACATCGATTATAGTTTTTGGTCCCCTGAAGCTACTTTTGGCGATGACAGTAACTACGTGGTGTCAACTGGAAATGGTTGGATTTTGTCAAAGGGATCAGTATCGTGCACTTTGACTCAGAAAAACATAGAGAGATTGTCATCAAGTTTATACCTTAGTGTTTTCAAAGACAATATTTTACATTTGACAGTCGTGTTCCCGAGTGGCTTACAGACAGACGACGAACGTCAGGATCCTCTAGTTTTTTGTTTTACTGATACCGATCCTATAAGTTTGCCCTATCGATATCCACAGATAAACATCACGGATAGAGGTGACACTTCAATCATATACCAGTTCGAGTCTTTTGGAAATGTACCTGGTCGCTACTGGTGCGAAGCCTTTACGTATCCAGATTCAGAAACTCTCACCAGCAATGTAATTTTTGTGAACCCAAAGAATCCTAACTTTCCGGATCACTTTGTAGGCACATATTTACTAAACTATACCACAGAAATAAATCCTTTAAGTTCTGATATCACTAACTTGATGAAGTCATACGTACTTAGGAGCAATTGCTTATACCAGATAATCAAAATTGTAGACTTGGATGAAATCAATAAAGTCGTTTCGATCAAGCTCCGTTACAGCTGCCCAAGTGATAGCTTACCCGATAACTTAAATATCCAGAGAATTAGTTTACAAAAGGTAGATTTCTGTCCAAGAGTGGTTGAAAACGACGTGATCTGGAATGAAACCAGAGCAGGCACTGTAGCCAGTCCTTCAGAACCTTGTTTCACTCAGAAAGGTTATGATTTGCAACGACCGTGTGTTGAGGATAGTTTCAATGGAGCCTATTGGGCTAAGGCAAAGTGCAACGTCCCGAAGAAGTCTTCAGTAACAAAGCAGTTGCAGGAAGTATTACCAAACGCCAGCAATCCAGATCAAGGTATATCACAATTGGAAACTATATCACGAAATTATGCACAGTTCAAGGCTGTCGATGTGCTCATTGTTGGAGAAACATTGCAACAGTACAGTTTTACTCAAACGTCAAATTGTGTTGATAAAATGACCAAAATTATTGATATAGGAGACAACATATTGAACATTGAAAGTGATATTATAATGGAGTCACAACAGAAAATGCATGCTATGGATGTTTGGCTAAACGTGATGAGTAACATTCAAAACATTTGTCGCATTAAAGACGTTTTTAATCATATCACCAATAATATTTACTTCATGAGTTCGAGAACTACAGCATGGTGTAGAACAAGTCCTGGTGATAAAAGAAAAATATTTGTGCAACATATCACAGCTTTGAGTGACATATTAAACAGAAAAGAGATAGAAAGTGCCATTTGGATAAACACATCTTCCGATCCTACTCTTACGACTGAAAGAGCGTTGAAGTACTATCCAACGCAAGGTTTTTTTTTTGATAAGTCTGAGTTAGGAAATGTTAGTTACGTGTATGAATTAACTATTTTTGACACCTACATAGACGTGTCATCACTTGTCTACCAAACTCCAGTGTGGCTCATTCAACGGTTTGATATGGTTTACACACGTAACAGAAAAGTGAAATGCGCCCGTTGGAACTATGGAAATGTGGCCGACAGAGTTGAAGGTTCGTGGTTGGTGGATGGGGACTTAAATATAACCAAGACCCACTTTATCTGCAAATTTAGAACCGTGGGAACCTACGCCATGATATTAGCACCTGAGGGTAACCCAGGAGACGATTTGAAGGAACTACTAGAGTCAAATAGCACATCTTCCGAGATTCTTTCAAGACTGGCTCAAGTCACATCTACACCAAAGTCATTTGTGTCTTCTGACGTGGTCCTCATTGGTCTAATCCTTCAGAAAATCAGCACCCGCAACGACATCAATTTGGACCTCCTCAGCGAAACCATCAACAACTTGCAAAATTTCGACAAAACAGTTCTAGAAACAAGTCAAAAGGAGCGCAGTGCGACGGATAGCATTCTATACAACATTGACACAATTCTACAGAATTACGAGTGTCAAAATGTGTGTCGAGTGACGAAAGACAACTTCGTGACCGTGATCTACAACACACAGGATGCTGATTTTGGGGCCTTGGTGCTCCTGGATAACGGCGAAGTGGAAATTTTAACTGGTAAAGTAACACCTTCGGATCTAACCCGTTACAAAAATTTCGACAGCGCTATTTTGCTGAGTCCCGAACTCAAATCCCAGCTGGAGGGAGACGCGAAAGTGATAGTTAGCATCTTCCACAACGACAGTTTGTTTATCGAGACGAAAAAGAGGTCCCATTATCGCGTTACGGGGAAGATCTACAGCGTCATTCTCCCCGAAATCCTTGCCAACTATTCTGGACCTTTGTCAGTCATCCATAGAATGAAACCCACAACCCGGGAGAAGGAGTGCTCGTACTGGTTTTATAATCCACCTCGACACGTAGCAGGGTTTTGGAAAAACTACGCTACTGATGCACGGAATTCCCCTTGGGTCCAGTGCGACTTCTGGCACACTACGCATTTCGGGGTTTTGTTGCTGGAGGATTCGTATGAAGAAACCCCAGCGTTGGACTTCATCACCACAGCGTGCTGCTTTTTGTCTCTATTTGGTTACTTTTCCCTACTTTTGACCGCGTTTCTGTACAGAAGTTGGAGGACCAAAGGTGCGAACAAATTTTTGCTTAATTTTGCGCTCTCCGGCTTAGTTCAAATTTTGGTCTTCTATGTTTCCACACACGCGAATAAAAAGTACTTAAATAATCATACCTTCTGTGTGGCTAGTGGCGTAATTCTTCACTACTCCGTTCTAGTCCAGTTTTGCTGGATGTTTATTATTGCACACCTCCAGTATAAAAAACTAATTCTGAATAGTCATGACCAAACTACTCATTTTTTGTTAAAGATGAACTTAATGGCTTGGGGACTTCCACTTATCGTGATCTTGAGTGTCTTGACATCTGGTGACTTCTATGGTAACAATAAATTAGGGATTTGCTACCCTACTGGAACCGCTTTATATTTAGGGGTTTGGTGGCCCATTTCTATAGTTGTCGCTAATAATTTCGTCATCTACGTGTTCATCATCGATGCGATTCTTAACACAAAAGATAGTTTGAAGCGTCACGGACCTGACGATTCGTCTCGTCATCTAGTACGTATTGGGTCTCTTTTTTTCTTTCTGGGACTGACTTGGATTTTTGGGTTTTTGGGAGAACTGTCACACAGTAAGGTTTTTATTTATCTTTTTGATACTTTTGCAACGTTACAGGGATTTGTTTTATTTTTAATATATATCGCCTTTAGTAAGAATGTCAAACAGTTGTATCTAAACAAAGTCAAAAAGACGAGAAAACGTAATGAGACCGATATTCTAATGGGTAGTTATTAGTTGTGATACTAATTTGTAAAATAATAAATAGACAGACAAGTTTTCTACTTGTTGATTAATTTTATCAGTTATAGCTTAACCCCAATAATAATCTTATCCACGCTGATAAGCGATAACCAAACATTCGCAAACAAAAATAGTGTCGTCGATATGTGTTCAGTAAGCGTAAAACTTACACTCTTTCTACCATTGTTTCACTTTGTATTAATATGTTTCTGTACTCAAGACAAGTGGGTACTATCTCAACCAGCTTCGGTAAGTGTATTTCATCATCTAGGAATCGGTACCACCTCCTTACAGAACTGTGTTTTTGTCAACAGCACAAAGTACTCGTGTCTTGACGAAAACCACAGGCACTTGTACCAACAATGTTTCAACACGCAATTCTGTACCAAAGACAACAATTTCGATTTGTCAACGCTGCCGCACTGTCCAGACGATTTTTCAGACGAAGGAAACTTCTGCTACCAGTTGAGCAAAAAATCGTCATTTCCACCACAATGTCCATACACGAACGTCCTACCTTTTGACACTTACAAGTCTGTTCTTAGTAAACTTGAACCTGTATGGATGCCCATCGAAAGAAATTTGGGTTTTTTCCAATGGGTGGAACCTGGTAGTCGCTACAAGAAGGTTTTTGAAGACCCATACGTCTACGAAGGTGGAATCAGTGGTAAAAACTGTCTCGTCTACCACAACGACTCATACATAGTTGCTGTATCTTGCGAAGAACGACATCCAGGAGTCTGCGCCTACAAGAAACTCCAGGACGCGAAGAATCCTCTATGTGGTGATATTAATACTTGCATCCAAAGTAGTCTAGACTCTTTAGGAAACTGTACTTGTTTGAGTGATGATACTTTAAAACCTCCAAGTGAATTCGTGCAGCCGTACCAAAGCAACGTCTACCATTTGTTATTAGACCCCCTTACTTGTACAATGGGTCTTGAGAAAACCTCAAATGGTACTTTTATCTGGACCAATTCTCGCAAGACCATCGATTATACTTTCTGGTCTCGGGATGTGTTTTTTAACGATAGTACCTCATATGTTGGTTGTACTTCAAACGGATGGATTCTCATTTCAAAACCAACTTCGTGTTATCTTAATGAAAAAAAGGTAACCCCTTTATCGTTAAACATGAGTCTTCGTTTGGAAAATTATACACTCTATGTGAACGTTGCTTCTTCAGTTGAAACCGACCGTTCAGCTTTTTGTTTCACTGACGCCCATCCCATTTACCCTATCTCACCGATTATGTCTATAAATACGTCTTCAATTGGGTACCAGTTTCAAGTACTTTCGAACATTTCTGGCCACTACTGGTGTGAAAGCTTTAGTGATCTGACTCCAGAACCCATACGAAGCAACCGAGTTTTCTTCGAAGGGGGCGGAAATGACGAAATTGTAGCAAACTTAGTGCTGAAGTACCCAACAGGAGTAAATCCTCTGACTTCTATGGTTACCACAATGCTGAAAACGGCACTCCATTCCATAAATTGTCCTTATCGAATCTTGAAGATATTTGATTTTGACGAAGCAAAACAAGAGGTTTTAGTGCGAGTTCGTTGTAATTGTCCTGTGGACAATTTTTCTAGTTTAAATGATGGTGTAAATATAATCGACTTGAAACGAGTAGGAAATTGTCCGACTGTCATTGAAAATAGGATAACTTGGCCTGAAACACCGTCATCTTCCGAAACTTACCCTGAAGAGTTGTGTTTCACCGGTGACGGTTTTCGTCTCAAACGATTCTGCATCGAAGACAAAGAACATGGAGCTCGTTGGTCACCCATCACTCAAGACTGTCAAATTCCAAAAGGATCATCCATAACGCAAGAGTTGACACATCTTCGGGACGTTCTAAATGGGGAAATTCTGGCCAAAAATGCAACTGCACAACTATTTCAGCTTCTGGTCTCCGACATGAAAAACACAGCGCGGAACTATAGCCAATTTAGTGCCTTGGATGTGTTCCTAGTGGCAGACTTTATGCAAAAACTCTTGAATTACAGTGAAGCCAATCTAGGCAATATATGCGGTACTGTTTTTACAAATCTAGGTCTTGATGTCATTGACGACATTCTAGATATCGATAGCGAGATATTGTTGGAATCGCAGAAAAAAATGGGTGCCACTGACATCTTGCTAGATGTGATGCCAATAATTAGGTACAGATGTATGGTCTTTGGAAACATCACGCAGCGCAATTTTGCTTTCATGAAACCAGTGGTAGAATCTTCCGGAATAACTGTACAAAGAAATGGAGACAAGTTGCTTATAGGGCTACAATCGTCGGGTAAATCGCTTGCCAACTTTCTACATATCCAAAATTTGGAGAGTGCGCTTTGGACATCTTCTGTGGGCGACTACGACAAAGATATCGGTTTTAGTTTCTACAAACAGAGAGGTTTCTACTTTGACGATACCCCAGGAAACATTAGTCAGGTTTTTGGAGTCACGACGGACCGTCAAAAACAGATATATGTCCTTCAACGAGTCGATCAATTTTCACGAAAAAGCGACGTGAAGTGTGCGTATTGGGGGTCAGGGGGTGAACTGCAACTCACTCGAGGCTCTTGGATCTTTAATGGAACCTCCAATATAATAGAGACGTTTTTCCTTTGTGAGTTTCCCAAAGTTGGTAATTTTGCTATTATAACACCACACAACCCTGAACAGCCTGTGTTTTTTAACTTAACTGACCTTCTTGCCTCTACAGACACTCCTGACGAAATTCTAGTCAAGTTATGCCAACTTACGTATAGATATGACGAATTCGACGCGACAGACGTTTCCTTAACTGGGCAAATTTTGAAAAAAATTGACTATGGAGTGCACGATTTAGACACAACAAGCGAAATTTTGAGCAACTTGCAGAAAATCAGTAGAACTGCACTTAACCAAAGTCAGGAGAAGTTTCTAGCTACTGACTCCATTTTGTACTATAGTGACGTTATCTTCAAAAATTACAGCTGCAGCTCTCAGTGCTTGTTCAAAGCGGATAACTTCATCACTTTGATTTTCAACACCACGAACACCAACATCACTGGCTTGCAGTTTTTGTCAACAATAGCGTGGAAATACTGTCAGGTTGGATAAATGCTACAGACTTAGCGAATTACACGGATTTGGACAGTGCCTTAGTTTTAAGCTCTCAGTTAAAACAACAACTGCCAGAAAATACCCAAGTCGTTATTAGTGTGTTCAAAAATGATTCGTTCTTCAACGAGAGGAACAACGTCTTCGTACCACTCGGGAAAATCTACAGCGTTATTCTTCCCGAAATTCTGGACAACTATTCCGGACCTATATCACTTTATCACAAATTGAACAATCCAAACCAGGAAAAAGATTGTTCTTATTGGCTGTACAACGCCCCACAACATTTGCCTGGTCACTGGCAAAATTCGTCGCTTGCTAGAAACGTGTTGTCTTTGATTCAGTGCGACTTTTGGCACACCACTCACTTTGGAATTCTCATTCTAGGCAACGGTTACGAAGACTCAGCTGCTCTCACTTGGATCACAAACATCTGCTGTGCGTTGTCTTTCATCGGTTATTGTTTTGTTTTTCTCACCGCTTTTCTTGACAACAGTTGGAGGGCAAGCGAATCAAATAAATTGTTGCTTAGTTTTGTATCTTCCGGTGTGTTTCAACTTTTGACTTTTTACATGTCCATTGTACTAGGGAAACAACTGTCTAAAAGCGATTCTCTTTGTGTCTTAGCAGGTCTTATTCTTCACTACTCCGTTCTCGTTCAGTTCTGCTGGATGCTAATCATACCACATTTCCAATACAGGAAGCTCGTTTTTTACAGTAACAATAATATAACAAATGTGGTAATTAAAACGAACTTGTTTGCTTGGGGTGTTCCAGTGATAATAGTCACAATTGTGCTACTACAGCATGGCTATCACTACTCTAAGGAGAAAATCGGGTTTTGCTACCCTTCCGGACGAGCTCTTTATTTTGGGGTCTGGTGGCCCATTTCAGTCGTCATAGCGAATAATGTTGTCGTATACATCTTCATTATAGACGCTATTCTTAACACTCGGTCGGAGTTAAGAAGGCATGGACCAGATGACAGTGTTTACCATATACGTCGGATAGGGTCTTTGTTTTTCTTTTTTGGACTAACGTGGATTTTCGGGTTTCTCGCAGTCGAAGAAAGTGTGATCTTCATCTACTTGTTTGATACTTTGGCCACGTTGCAAGGGTTTGTTTTGTTTCTTTTGTACGTAGTTTGTGACAAAAGTGTTAAGGAAATGTACTGGAACAAATTTCAAAGAGCCAAGTACACCTCTAGTGGAATGCTAAGGTTGGTTTTTTCGTCCGATTCGAGGTACAGAAGACGGTCTCCCGAGCCCGAAAGTTCACCACTATTCATGAATTAATAAAGTGTTTTTTTATTTTTAACTTAGTGTTTATTTTGTCCCAAAGAAGCCGACAAGTTCTTATCGTGAGAGATTAAACTGTTTACGTGTTCGCACGATTTTTTGTATGTAGTATAGCACTCTGATCAAAATTGTTTACCATTCTTTAGTCCTTCGTTTTTTAGTTTTTTTCACTGATAAAATCTTTGAAGGAAGACCAGTAGTTTACTACGGGCAAAAGATAAATAATGATAAGGTAGTACCAACATTACACGTTGTGGTAGAAGTCGTTAAATTAGAAATGAATTTGTGCTGAGTCAAGAGGAAAAATAACATTTTCTGGTAAGCAAATACCCGCAAAAGGTATCACTGATACTACAAATAATGTTTTTTTTATCTTATCTACAACTTTGTTAAATAAGTTGTAGAAAATAATCTTATTAAGTACTCTGATCGACAAAATATTTTTCAATTTCAAGCTAGCATCACTTCCTCAACAGCACTAAAGGATAAAATGCTGCAGTATATCATAGTGTTTTACGCCATAATAAACTCTTGGACACTCTCCCAGAGTACCACTGAACAAGTAAGTTGCAATTATTTAAGTTGCGTCATTTAAATTTTAATTTCAGGTACCGGAAATACATTATCAAGACTGACCAGAAGGTCTTATTGACTCTGGTCGTCTATGTTACGTAGTAACCGCAAAATCTACATTCCCGCCAGAATGCCCATTCGAAAACGCCATGCCCTTCGAATATTCTAAACATATTGTCACAGAGAATAAAATCGGTCCTGTGTGGATGCCTGTGGAACGCGATGTTTCAAACCGTCTAGGGTTTCTACAATGGACCGAACCCGGTGCCAACTACAAGAAAACGTTTGAAGAAAACCATTTTTATGATGGACGTATTGAGGGTAAAAATTGTCTTGTGTATTACAACAGTTCGTATATGAAAGCTGTGTCGTGTATTGAAGTCCATGTAGGGATATGTTCGTATGAAAAAATACATCATTGGGATACTTACTCTAATAAATGTGATGAATATGAAGACTGCGTAGAATTGAACGTAGAGGAACCGAAGTGTATTTGTGCTGCGAGTACACTGAACATAGAAAATTATAGTACAGCAAAGTTCTTAGAAGTTTATGCAAATGTAGTACGCAATTTGTCGTCTGAGAAAGAATGTCGTGCAGAAATCGAGATACTAGGACAAAACCGTATTTTTGCTAAGACGGATTTACAAGTAAGAGTGGAACCTGTGACCGATATATTTTTATCAGGGACTTGTGAGGGAATTCAAAGAAAGTTTACTTACGACTTTACAGAAGAGACGATCAGGGTAAACTGGAATGGAGAAAATGCTCTTATCGTGAATGTCTTGAATGTTTATGGTTTTAACCAAATTTCAACAGTTTCTGCGATTTATTGCTTTACCGATGCCAACTCTACAAGTATGCTGTATCGGTATCCAAAGCTCGAAACGGTGTTAAGTGGCAGTGGCAACCAAACATACGAACTTCCACTCCTTGAATATCGGTCCGGACATTACTGGTGCGAAGCTGGCAGTCGAAGAAAGTGTGATCTTCATCTACTTGTTTGATACTTTGGCCACGTTGCAAGGGTTTGTCTTGTTTCTTTTGTATGTAGTTTGTGACAAAAGTGTTAAGGAAATGTATTGGAACAAATTTCAAAGAGCTAAGTACACCTCTAGTGGAATGCTAAGGTTGGTTTTTTCGTCCGATTCGAGGTACAGAAGACGGTCTCCCGAGCCCGAAAGTTCACCACTATTCATGAATTAATAAAGTGTTTTTTTATTTTTAACTTAGTGTTTATTTTGTCCCAAAGAAGCCGACAAGTTCTTATCGTGAGAGATTAAACTGTTTACGTGTTCGCACGATTTTTTGTATGTAGTATAGCACTCTGATCAAAATTGTTTACCATTCTTTAGTCCTTCGTTTTTTAGTTTTTTTCACTGATAAAATCTTTGAAGGAAGACCAGTAGTTTACTACGGGCAAAAGATAAATAATGATAAGGTAGTACCAACATTACACGTTGTGGTAGAAGTCGTTAAATTAGAAATGAATTTGTGCTGAGTCAAGAGGAAAAATAACATTTTCTGGTAAGCAAATACCCGCAAAAGGTATCACTGATACTACAAATAATGTTTTTTTTATCTTATCTACAACTTTGTTAAATAAGTTGTAGAAAATAATCTTATTAAGTACTCTGATCGACAAAATATTTTTCAATTTCAAGCTAGCATCACTTCCTCAACAGCACTAAAGGATAAAATGCTGCAGTATATCATAGTGTTTTACGCCATAATAAACTCTTGGACACTCTCCCAGAGTACCACTGAACAAGTAAGTTGCAATTATTTAAGTTGCGTCATTTAAATTTTAATTTCAGGTACCGGAAATACATTATCAAGACTGTCCAGAAGGTCTTATTGACTCTGGTCGTCTATGTTACGTAGTAACCGCAAAATCTACATTCCCGCCAGAATGCCCATTCGAAAACGCCATGCCCTTCGAATATTCTAAACATATTGTCACAGAGAATAAAATCGGTCCTGTGTGGATGCCTGTGGAACGCGATGTTTCAAACCGTCTAGGGTTTCTACAATGGACCGAACCCGGTGCCAACTACAAGAAAACGTTTGAAGAAAACCATTTTTATGATGGACGTATTGAGGGTAAAAATTGTCTTGTGTATTACAACAGTTCGTATATGAAAGCTGTGTCGTGTATTGAAGTCCATGTAGGGATATGTTCGTATGAAAAAATACATCATTGGGATACTTACTCTAATAAATGTGATGAATATGAAGACTGCGTAGAATTGAACGTAGAGGAACCGAAGTGTATTTGTGCTGCGAGTACACTGAACATAGAAAATTATAGTACAGCAAAGTTCTTAGAAGTTTATGCAAATGTAGTACGCAATTTGTCGTCTGAGAAAGAATGTCGTGCAGAAATCGAGATACTAGGACAAAACCGTATTTTTGCTAAGACGGATTTACAAGTAAGAGTGGAACCTGTGACCGATATATTTTTATCAGGGACTTGTGAGGGAATGCAAAGAAAGTTTACTTACGACTTTACAGAAGAGACGATCAGGGTAAAGTGGAATGGAGAAAATGCTCTTATCGTGAATGTCTTGAATGTTTATGGTTTTAACCAAATTTCAACAGTTTCTGCGATTTATTGCTTTACCGATGCCAACTCTACAAGTATGCTGTATCGGTATCCAAAGCTCGAAACGGTGTTAAGTGGCAGTGGCAACCAAACATACGAACTTCCACTCCTTGAATATCGGTCCGGACATTACTGGTGCGAAGCTTTTATTTACACCAGATCGAAGCCAATAAAAAGTGATGTGATATACGTCGAAAAAAATACGTTTCCTCAAAACTATCTTGCAACCTATCGTTTAGAATATCCGAAAGGAGTCAACCCCCTGAGCCCCAGTATTCTTAATGTACTTGCGAAATTTGTAAACGATCGTGTCTGGTGTTTGCACCAAATCGTAGAAATAGTTAAGTTAGACGAAAACAAACAGCAAATTTCATTCACTGTTCGTTTTAACTGTTTAGAAGAATTTTCGCCTGTTTATTTGAATTTTACTAATATTGAAACGATGAATATACGAGGTATAGACTTCTGTCCTACTATTGTTGAAGAGAATGTAGTGTGGAAAGAAGCAGAATGGGGAACTAAAATTTATTCAAAAGAAATGTGTTTCCGTAACACAAGTCGAATAAAAAAAATGTGCGATAGAGATGATTTTCGTGGAGCACACTGGACGACTTTTTACAGTTATTGTGACGTTGCAAAACTATCATCGGTATCAGACAAACTGCTGGAATATTCGATGAGCGAACAGTTCGACAAACTTAAAAATTTATTAAAAAATTTTACAGAACTGGGTCGTCATGATGTTAACATTATTGCAAATTATGTAAGGTATTATGATTTTCAACGCAATGAGATTTTGGACTTAGTGGATATTGTTTTAAATATTGATAGTAGCATACTAATGGTATCACAAACAGCAGAGTTCTGGATTAAAACAGTTCAGGAGTACGCTTTAGAGCGTGATTCTTCTAACGATCATATTAAAAGAAAAAATTTTGCTTTTTTGAGATCGTCGTACGGAGTATTTGTTCAAAAAGATGAAACCGAACTACAGATATACAAATTACGTTATCCCATAAAACCTGAGGATGTAACAGAATTAGAAAATGTACACAGTGCTATGTGGATAGAAACACAGGACAGCGAATTATTAAGGCAACTGTCATTTCTTTTTTTTAGAAGACAAGGTTTTTTTTTCGATACACGGCCTTTTGTAACCAAGAATGTTCTTAACGTGTTTGTAGTTCAACGTTTGGCGTTTTTTCCAGTATGGATTGCTCACAAAGCTGACCACGATACATATAACAAAATTATAAAGTGTGCCTCCTGGATTCATTTGGAAGCAGATAGTGGTGCATGGATTCTAGGTGGAGAACTTTTCAAGCTTAAATCTCATTTTTTTTGTCGGTTTCGAAATTATCATAAACTTGTTGATTTAGAGCCTGACTATACTAGCTTACTTCGTGAAGGTCGTGGTTTACATGAGGGTGGCGGACCTCGTGAAGGTCGTGACTTATTAATTCGCTCCTTTCGTTCAAACTATCAATATTTTGGCATAATAGGATTGCCTGCTGTTCAAGTAACAGACGCCTTGTTAGAGATATTTGCGTCGAAAAGTAGTTCCAAAGAAATTCTTGCAAGTCTGCTTCAACTAACATTCAGATACGACGAATTCCTTTCTTTCGATATTTTCCTCACCGGCAAAATTTTCAAAAATGTACATGATAATAGAAACGCTGATCTAAAAATCTTGGGTGAAATAATAAACAATTTACAAAAAATTGACAAGAAGGTATTGCAAGACAGCCAAAGAGAATACAACGCGACAGATATCATCCTCCACTACACTGATGCCATTCTCAAAGAGTCTCCATGCGAACAACAGTGTTTAGTCAAAACCGACAGCTTTATAACTCTGATTTACAACCGACAAGACGCTACATTTGGTGGTTTCGTGCTCCTGAACAATTCCGAAGTCGCCATTCGCACCGATACTGTAACTCCCTCGGAATTAAGCAAGTACAAAAATTTTGACAGTGCTGTAATACTAAGTCCCGAACTCAAAAACTCAACAAAGTTTGACGAAACCACGAAAGTGATTGTTAGTATTTTTTACAATGACGCTTTGTTTAACGAGAAAAGTTCGAAGATTTTTCCTTATAACGTCGTCGGTAAAATCTACAGCGTGATTCTTCCCGACGCACTAACAACTTATTCCGGGCCTTTGTCCATCGTCTATAAAACTGAGGACCCAAGTCAAGACCAAGAGTGCTCCTACTGGTCTTACGACACACTCCAGAAGCAAGCAGGTTTCTGGAAATACCACACTACTGGTAAAGCATTGTCTTCCTTGCTTCAGTGCGATTTCTGGCACACCACACATTTCGGGGTCCTCATTCTTGACAAAATGTATCAAGAAAAATCAGCTTTGAAGTTAACTACCGCAGCATGTTCTTCGTTGTCTCTAGCGGGTTACTTTTTCCTGTTTCTAACTGCCTGTTTTTGCAAAAGTTGGAGATCGAATAGTGCTAACAAACTTTTGCTGAATTTCGCTTTCTCCAGTCTGTTTCAAACATTAGTGTTTTATCTTTCGATCAACTTGCACAAGCAATATCTCACGAGTCGTTTCTTTTGCGTAGCTAGTGGTTTAGTTCTTCATTATTCGGTCCTCGTCCAGTTTTGTTGGATGTTTGTTATTGCGCACTTCCAATACAAGAAACTCATTTTGAACAACAATGATCAAACTCCACACTTATTGTTAAAAACGAATTTGATGACTTGGTGCCTCCCACTTGTCATTGTTATTAGTATCGTGGCTACATATGGTGATAACTATAACAATACTGTGGGTGGTATTTGTTACCCTTCGGGTACTGCATTGTATTTCGGTGTTTGGTGGCCCATTTCTTTAGTTATAGTTAATAATTTTTTTATATACATCTTTATAATTGACACAGTTCTTAACACAAAAGATCGTTTGAGAAGACACGGATCGGATGATACGTTTTACCATGTAATACGTCTTGCGTCTCTATTTTTCTTTTTTGGACTTACTTGGATTTTTGGATTTTTGGCAGAGGTATCTCACAGCGTAATTTTTGTCTATTTGTTTGATACCTTTGCGACATTGCAAGGATTTGTGTTATTTTTGATATACGTGGTATTTAATACTGATTTCAAAAAAATTTGGTTAAACACTTATAAAAGAAGTAGTAGACGCCATGAAGAGGACATCCTTATGCGTAGTCATTAATTAATGTCTTAAATGTAGCAGTTTTGATAAACATTTTTAATGAAATAATACTGTTGTTTTATTTAGTAACACATTTCGTTTATTGAATCATATTTTTACAAAAAACACCCCTTTTAGCTTGTTTGCTAATCAGGAACTCTATTACATGCTGATTCCCTTTTTTGTATGCACAATCCAAAGGTGTTCTTCCTTCCTTATCTTCAACATTAACTTCAGCTCCACGTTCAATCAACAACTCAACGACCGCATAACACCCCTTTCCACAAGCATAGTGTAAAGGTGTCCGACCATGAGCGTCTGGAACATCTACGGTCACACTCTTTTCCACCAATAACTTCACGGTATGAGAATCTCCACTTTCACAAGCATAGTGCAAGAGCATTCGACCATCAGCGTCAGGAGCATTCACTTGTACACATTTTTGAAGCAAAGCGTCGATATCAGTCCTTGCTTTTCCTTTGAAAGTTGAATAGATGGATGTAGTACTATTCGTAGCTTCAATCAACAGAGAAAAGTACTTGTACAGGTTGAAATCAGAAGTTTTGTGTGCAGCATTAAAGTTACGCAGTAACACTTCCGCGTAATTTTTCTTATCAATAAGTTCTTCTAAACATTTGTAGGAATTGAAAGAGACTATCAGAGAAATGAGTTTTTTTGGGTCGATTTTCTGGTGGATGTTGTGCAACCAGTCTATGTTTGCTGTGCAGGTGAAGATAAAGGCATAATCAAACTTGATTGCGTAATAAAGAACCGTGGGTAAATAGTCGTCTTCAAAACGTTGATAGACGTGATTGTAGAGAGGTATAAGAAATGGTAGTAACAGTAGTAAGTTTCGAATACAACTATGGAGTGACCGACTGAATTTGTCGTAGCATTTTGATATGGATTTGTAATTTAAATCGGATTCAGTTTCAGCATTCACGAGAATATTTTGTGCCACAATAAGTGGGTACTTCTTACTCCATGCACACGACAGTTCTAAAGTTTTGCGTTTAATTGTGTCATTTTGGTCCAAGTCTGCGTTTTCACATTGTGCCAGAAGCTTGTAACTTCTACATATTATAGCGATGTGACCTTTACAATTTTGCGACAGCATCAAGTCGAGAAAAAATCTGATGTTATTATATCTACTGTTCAAAACAAATTTCGCTTCTCGTGCTCTAGTGGGGTTATTATCAAAAAGGTACAAAGCGGCAAAATATTCACCGTATGAGTTGTGAGTAAACTCAGGTTTGTTGTCGTTGACTTTACTAACGAAACCCACGGGGTCCCCTCCAGTCTTGATATCTTCTAAAAAGTTGTAATTTGGAGACTGTGTACAACAGTTGAGATCGCCACTATATCTCAATTTTCTACTCAAATAGAAATCGAATGCAATTTGTTTATAACCCCCCACTTTTTCTTTCTTTTCATTTTCACATTTCTTTACATTTGTTTCCATGGTCAGGGCAAGTCCCATTTTTTCTTTATAAAAAATGTTGAATTTCTCATCCACGAAATACTCGTATAGAGTTAAAGGTGTGATGTTTTGTTCATCCAGCAAGCGAGAGTACTTTTCCAGGTCTTGACAAAACAGCTCTGTCAACATGTAAATCTGCAAGGGAATGCCCAAAATGTCGCTATTCAGAAAAAGGACGTTCATTTTAATCTTCTTGAAAATTGTTGGCAACTCTTCGTCTGAAACTGTCAAGCGTTTTTTGATATACGCTTGCTGCTCTTCTTCGTTAAACTCTTGCATTTCTTTGGCAAATATTTTCAGTCTGCGTTCTAAATAGTCCTTCAGGTTTTTCCGGGATGTTATCCACTGTTTGAACCCTTCCTTCGAAATCGCGCTCACCACCTTAAGAACAGTTTTGAGACTTTCGTCAGAAACTTCGTCCAGTCCGTCCCAAATTATGCGAACTTGTCTTTTCTCCATCAACAAATCAACAATTTTTTCATCAAAATCACCACGAACGTTCTTGGAGATGACATTTCTAAGAAACTTGAAGACGTTTTTGTCGTCTTTGACCTTTTTGTAGAGATTGGCGTGCATATTTGCATAGATTATTAGCGTCCACACTGACGAACAACTGTTGTTTTTAAGACTTTTGACTAAAGTACTTTTTCCCATTCCGGGATTTGCGCAGACGACGTTGATATCATTTTCGTTTTTTCCGAAGAGGTGTGATTCGTCTACTGTGTAATTGTATTTATGATCCATTCGAAACTTGTAAAAGTCTTCCACTTCTAAAGAGGTACTTCTTATCCACTCTAAACAGTCGTCATTTATGTATCTAAAATGATGGTATTTTTTCGTCGACGTGTTGTCAACAAGTTTGATGAATTCATCTTCTGTTATATCATTTTTGGTGACATAGATGATGTTACTGTCTGGTTTATTCTTAAATACTATCTCCCCGTTAGGAGTCACTTCTATGTTTTTAAAACGTTTCTTGAAACCGCCTTCGTCTTTTACTTCTGTAATGACGATGAAGTTGTCGACAGTTCTTTGCAAAAATTGTATATCGATTACTGTTTTTGACAACGTTCTAGAGATGAAGCAAGGTGGAAGGGTTTCTTTTTGTGTCCCTATTTCTAAAGGTTGTTGCAACATATCAACGAGTTTATCGGTGGTGATCATGTGGTGGATGTCGTCGTTTACTAAAGTTTTCAAAAGTGCCTCCTTTTGACCTTCTAGAGAGTAAGTGAAGGTATTTACGACTTTATTGTAAATTGCTTCTTCTGATTTGAGGTCAGCTAGATTTTGGAATAATGTGTTCGTGAAAGCAAGAGTATTTTTACCTTTCGTAGATTGTACAACGACGAAATTTTTTTCTTTTTCAAAATTTATCACGTTTTGAATGTCTTCGCTGTCGTCAATAACCAGTGGACACTTGTTTATTAACCAAATAAGCTTGTTCTTGTCCACATCTCCCAAACAATGTAAATCTTCCACAGACGCGATGCTAGAACTAGTAATTTGATACTTAACATTGATGTCTCTGATTTCCGCTAAATCTTGTTCTTTCAAAGAATCCGCCCAAAGATTTTGTACCTTATTTAGGCTGTCTTGAGTTATAGTTGTTACATGGAACTTTGAAACCGCCTCTCTAAATGTTTTCCCCTTTTCGCTAACAGTCGCATCGTCGGAAAATGACAAAGTCTTCATCGAGGGTGACGAAACGACAAGAGTTATGAAAGTTTTTATAAATTTTTTGTCCAACAAACTCTTCTTCCCCTCAGTTAAACTCCATCTAGTGATAAACTTTACAAACTGCTCGAAAACAAATTCTTGCTTGGAGAAGCTCTTAGTAAATGTTTCTAGAGCGTCAATTTCAATATCGTCAACTGCGGCTTGACTCGTATAGAATTGAAAATTGTCAAAAAAGTCGTCATAGTCACTGGTGGAAGTCAGCTTGAATTTATAAGATAGTCCATTACGTGAAGTGTTCAAGAGATAGTTTGGGTTCGTCGTTGTGGCGGTCATTTCGAACTTGTTGTCGTCAGTACTTAATTGAACCTTCTTTTCTGTCGTAAACTGACTATTGGTGAGTAGAATCATCGTAACCGGGCAATTCAGTTTCTTTAAATTGTTATAGTAGTCTTTAAGGTAGTGAACAACGCTGAAGTTTCCTTTAGCCGCATTTAGATGCTGAGCACTTATTTTCTTACCGTCGTTGTTGACATGTTTGAGTTGAATGGCGTAGATTTCGGTTTCTTTTTTAAAAGCATATTGGATTTCGATGACTACGTCGTCGAAAGCTCCGTATTGACTATCGTTGGAAGACAGGTGAAAGTCGATAACATTGTCATCTTGGACCAGTTTTAAAAGCAGGTTTACTATGTAAAGATGTTCGTAATCTTTACCCTTATCGGTAGTACCACTGCGTTTTATGAATGTCTAAAATCAATATCTGTAGACAGATTAGTTTCGAGGTATTTGACTTACTGTAGAATAAAGAGGAGAACTTGGCGCTGAACTTGGAGCAGAATCTGTGTCGCTTTGGTATGTCATCTGGAGAACATATGAGTATTTAAATTATAGTGTTGGGTAAAGTATACTTACTGTAATTGTGGTCTTGCTAGACTAACTATCATTTTAATTCCAGTTCAATGTGTTTGTTCTGAGCTAAAACGTACGAATGTAGGTGTGCAAGATAAACGATATCAGTGAAGGATAGATTGTCGGCTGGTCGGCTCCTGATAAGAGATAATTTTAAGGAAAGTAAATATGTAATTATAACCTAAATATAAAACCAATAATAAGGAACTACTTAAAAATGTTCTACTGGAAAAAATGTCGATTGTTTGTTTGATTTAATCTAAAGTATCGAGTCTATTTCAAGTTGTTTCTGAAACATAAAAACTTCCTTATTTTTGTTTATTTTTTTTTATTATTATTAAAATATTATAGACCATGTTACAATTTCAAGCAATTACTATGTTGTATAACTTTTTTTTGGTTTTCTAAGATTGACTCTCGTTAAGTTGTATGGTGATGATGTAGTATGTAGCAACATTTGCCAATATACAAAAAATCATGCTCTTGTTAATATTAAAATACCCTGCAGCAGTAAACTCCCTATAAAAATGTTTTGAAGAGTTGATAATTTTTGTCAAAATTTCGTCTTCTCTAGGTCCCTTTTGAAACTTCTCCTGAAGCGTATGACATAAATCAATAAATTTTCTAGCCTCCTGGGTAGCTGAATCGATCGGAAAAATAATCATAACAAAATTGAACTAAAAAAGACGTTATGATAATTATGAACGGAAAGAACACCTACTTACTGAGACAAAGACCATCAATAACACATTTGCGATTATGATCCGACAAACAAACTCTTTACTGGTACGAAGGATCATAATAAAAGTATAATTCAAGCATACAATTATTTGCAAACCAAAGTGGAACAAGATACTTATTATCTGATACCCAAAAATCTGACTAAACATGTCAACAGTCTCTCCCAAAGTTCGGAAAATATTTCCAGCATTTCTAATACCTTCGAGATCAAAATTTTCGCAGTTTTTTATTAATCTTTCATTCAAATCCTTGTATCTATCTTTAATGCTTCTCGCCAATGTCGTTATGAAAATAACCGTTAAAAACTCTTGATAGCAGTCCGAAAAAGGATTTAGCCACAGTCCCTCCCAAAGCCCAATTTTTTCCATACTTATAAATGCATACAGTAGATAAAAAACAAAACTAGCAAAAATAATATGCTGTAACAACAGCACAAAGTAAAAATTTTTCCAAATCCTTTCTCTCTGGCCTGTATTTTCCAATTTTACGTCGATGTATTTAAAATTCGTGATTAGAGTTTTCCACTTTTTGACGTCCCACACCGTAGATTTTAAAACCGTGACCAAGTTTCGTACCACCAGGATGAAAGTCCAGGAGATGTGGAGAAAATTCTCTGATACGTATTCATAGTTTCGTTTGAAGCCACGGTTGATAGCAAAAATCCAGAGACATTTGATGGTTAATAAAACACATGCGTACAATGTGGAGAATTTTAAAGAATAAAAGGAATTTTTGTCAAAATCGTACCACGGTGTTATTAGAAAGATGTTCAAGTATTGAAAAAAGGGTTTTATGAAACTGATATCTTTGACTGATAGACTGAAGTTCATGGTAGCTTCTGTTCTAATATCGCCGAATGTCCTATCAATCAACTAATGGAGGTGCCTACACACGAATACAAGGACAAATGTTTCCATTATTGGATTAGAAACTGTAACATTTGTGTTTAATTTTTTTATTTTTAAAATATTAGAGAACAATCTACAATATAAGCAATAGCTAGGTTGTGTAATTTTTGTTCGTTTTCTGACACTGACTCTCGTTAAGTTGTATGGTGATGATATAGTATGTAGCAACATTAGCCAATATACAAAAAATTAAGGCCCTATTAATATCAAAATACCCTGCTGCAGTAAACTCCCTATGAAAGTGTTTACAAGAGTTTATCACTTTTGTAAAAATTTCGTCTTCGCCTTTTTGAAACTTCTCCTGAAGTTTATGGCATAAGTCAATAAATTTTCGAGCTTCCTGGGTAGCTGAATCGATTGGAAATATAATCATAACAACATTGAACTAAAAAAATTTTAGTCATAATTATGAACGGAAAAACATCCTACTTACTGCGACAAAGATCATCAAGAACACTTGCCCGATTATCATCTTACACGTAAAATCTTTGTAGCTGCTATGAATCATAATAAAAATATAATTCAAACAAACAATTATTTGCAAACCAAAGTGGAACAAGATACTTATGATCTGATAACCAAAAATCTGACTAATCAGATCAACGGTCTCCCCCAAAATTCGAAAAATATTTCCAGCAAGTTTAATTTCTTTAAAATCCAAACGTCCGCAGTTTTTTATTAATGTTTCATTCAGATCTTTGTATCTAATTTTGACACTTTTCACCAGCTCACTTATCAAAATAACTAATAGAAACTCTTGATAGAAGTCACCCAAAGGACTTAGCCACAGTCCTTTCCACATCTCAATTTTTGTCATGCTTGAAAATGCGTTTAACTGGTATACAATAATCATAAAAAAAACAATGTTCTGTAAGAAAAAAACAAAATAGAAATTTTTCCAAAACGTTTCTTTGTGGCCCCCGTTTTTCAGTTTTATGTCGATGTATTTAAAGTTTGTGATTAGAGTTTTCCAATTATCGACATGCCACAATGTTGATTTTAAAACAGTCGCTAAGGTTCGTACCACAAGACTGAAGGTCCAAAAGATGAAGAGAAAATTCCATGAAACGAAATCATTTTCGTCTGCAAACCCAAGGTTCAAAGAAAAAATCCATATAAATTTAATAACGATTAAAAAACACGCATGCAATATGGAAAATTTTAACCAGTAAAATGAATTCTTATTAAAATCGTACCATGGCGTTATTAGAAAGATATTCAAGTACAGAAAAAAAGGTTTAATAAAATTGATATCTCTGACTGAAAGGCTGAAGTTCATGTTGGTTTCTGCTTTAACATCAGTGAATGTGCTATCAATCAACTAATGGACTACACAAAAGTACAAGGACAAATGTTTCAATTAGCCGATTAACAAAATAAATTTCCGATTACTATTTATTTTGACAATATACAGATTTAAGTGATGCTTGGTCAGAATTCCGAGGGATATTGACATTTCTGATACTGGCTTTCATTAAGTTGTATGGTAATGATGTAATACGTAGCGACATTTCCACCCAAAGCAAAAAGTATCCTTTTGTTAATGTTAAAAAATCCAGCGGCGGTGAATTCTCTTTGAAAATTTTTGCAACAAACTGTTAATTTTGACAGAGCATCCAATTCTTTAGACTCGTGAGGGAACTGTTCTTGAAGTTTGTAACACAAGTCCATAAATTTCTTAGCTTCTTGAGTAGCTTCGTCAATGGGTAAAATCACCATCAGGACATTGCACTAAAAATTTTTATTATCATTTTCAAAGTTATGTAAAATACGTACCGTTACAAATATCATTGAACATAAATTAGCCGCCAAGATTCCATACAACACATCTTTATTGACACTCGAAAGGGTCACATAGCTATAGTTCAAACAAGATATTATCTCTAAACCGAACCGAAACAGGACACATATTATTTGATAGCCAAAAATATGACTAAAGTCGTCGACGTTTTCGCCCAGAAGACGATATATCTCTTGCACTTGTCTAAAGTCTCGGTCAGTAAAATTTTTACATTGTTTTAGTAATTTCGCATTCAAATATTCATAGCGTTCCTTGAAACACTTGATCAAAGTATTTATGAACACAACCATCAAAAATTCCCGATAATAATCACCACCAAACCAAAAAGTTTCCAAAATTGGCATTCCCAAAAACAGTGAAAAAGCGTATAACTGAAATGCGAACCAAATGGCGACCACCACGTGCTTCATCCCCAAACGGAAGTAAAAGTTTTGGAAAATTGACTTTTGTTGGTCAACGATTTGCAATTTCGTGTCAATAAGTTCGAAATTGGTGATCAACGTTGTCCATTTATTGATATCCCAAAAAGTCGATTTTAAAATCGCCATTACAGGACGAACTACTTGATTCAAAATCCAAAATGTGTACAGAACTTTGAAAGTTGGAGTGTTTTGGAACATTTTTCTTTGGATGTTTTCATTCATCGTCAGACTGAAAAGCCAAGTGAATTTAACAAGGATTAAAACAGATCCATATAACTTGGATATATTTAGGTTGCGGAAGGAGAGTTTGTTGAAGTCGTACCAAGGTGCTATCAGAAAAATGTTCAAATATAAAAAAAGGGGTTTGATGAATTTGATATTTTTAATGGGTAACTTAGAATTCATTGTCGCGTCGAGGGTGAAATTATTATTGAAGAAAAACGTTACCAATTTTTCAATCAGCTAATGAAACGGCCAAATAGCAGGGTAAATATTAAGATTAATTTATTGATTGGTTATAATTTGATAAGTGGTGTAATACGGAAAATGGGCTATGTAAACCACACGTGTATTTATTTAAATTATGGATTAACAAATTCGAAAAGGTTTAATTTGTTATTTATTTTACTAGAAAATATAATTTGATAAAAGTAAGTGTATGTTGTTTGTAGATAAAATAAAAATCGTATCTGTTTTGAATTACCCCAAGCTTATAATTGTCATTCCACTGTACCAAATTTTCTAACCGCACTTCTGGTACTGATTTTCGTTTAGTTGTATCATGATAATGTAATACGTGGCCACATTTCCAACCAAAGAGAAAATAATTCCTTTATTGATAAAAAAAAATCCGGCAGCGTGAAAACTTCTTTGAAAATTGTGCGAACAGTTTATTAGTTTCGTTAAAGCTTCCCCTTCTTTGGAATTTTCATTTAATTGTGCTTGGATTTTGTAACACAGATCGATGAATTTCTTAGCTTCTTTGGTAGCAGAATCCATGGGAAATATCAACACTAATACATTCCACTAAAAATCCAAGTCATCATTTGAAAAATTTTTACAAAAACTTACAATCGCCAATAATAGAGCCAACAAATTAGCAGTCAACAGTTGATAGAACACTTTGTCTTCCGTAGTCAGAACAATGATAAACATATAATTCAAACCAGAAATGGTCTCTACGCAAAATTTCAGTAAAACACATATTATTTGGTGACCAAAAA